AAGTATTTGTATCTTTTTTTTAATGAATAAAAACTGAATTTATTACATACATTTATATAAGGCTGTTTTGTTGTTATAATTATAGAGAAAACGTGGGATTAAAAAGACTTGCTCAACCGTAACAAAAAAAATACGTATTGAGTCGATGGAGAGATATAAGCACAAGGTACACCTCCGAGTTTGTTTCCCTTGGTTGTTGCTGATTTGATGTGCACGTTTACATAGTTACATGCAATGACGTTGATTTTGAAAGTATTGTTGAAAATTAACCCTTTTTTTCTATGGGTTTTTTTCCCTCTGAAATAATATTCAACTTGGTTTTGTTTGTTTGTTTCAATGAGTAATTATGTTTTTCATCTAAAGAATATATGAATAGTCATAATATGTTGATACTAATGTTTTACCTTGTCAAGTTGTTAATATTTTTCTCTCCTCTGCTCACCAATCTTATTTAACAGCATATTAGATTTTTATTAATTCATCGAATAGACTAAAATGAAATATTTAATATTTTGAAATGGTTATTGATTTAAAAATATAATCACAAACTAAAAAACTACTTAATCAACAATACTCAGTGATAGAAAAAAAACATTTTGTAAATATTATTCATTTCATATATAGATTTAAAAGACAAAAAATAAATGAAATTTTTCATTTTTATGTTTAAATATATTCGAATAGAATACATATTAATTCAAAAGTATGGATAGTGAAAAACAAAACATTGTCTCATACTAATAGAGAAAGAACGTTTCACATAAAAATGACGATAGATCAGATTTCAATTATTTAGATAAAAATATTCTTTTCAAAATATTCGAAATATCTAGACTAATTTAACATGAATAATCTTTATAGATTTTGAAAAACTAATGTTACAATAATCACAATATCTTTTAACAGTTTATAAATTAAAACTGAATATATACATGTTTTTATTTGAGACGAAGAAAAACAATAGAAATCTTGATTAATGAATCAAAAAAATTACTCATTCTATTTCGTCAAAGTAAGAGCATAACGGAAAATAGTTTTCAAACATGTATTATAAATAATTTGGAATATCTGTCGACATTTAACTTATAAATCTTCTATTGAAATATAAAACAAGACAGAAAAATGTTGGATGATATCAATTAGGTTAAAGACATATTTTTATTTTTATTTCATATCAGAGATGCCGGATGGGTCGGGTTAGTGCTGGTACTCATCGGGTTGGACCATCTATGGGTGAGTGTTAACCCAAACCAATGGGCTGGACAAGCGATTTGAAAATTTTCAAACCTGACCCACCCATCGAGATTTTTATGTAAAATTGGTCGATTAAATCAAGGATTACCCTTGGATTAACTCGTGAAATAATTTTTGGAAAGAGTTTTAATGAAGATATCATGATTCTGCGTATATGATCAATCAGCTTCTTGATATTTATTGTTTAGTCGGATGATCCAGCGTGATATACATAAAACACAATTTATCTTCTTTTTCTCTTTCATTTCTGTCTTTTTTTGCATCTTTCGTCTCTTCGTTCTTTTTTCTTCACCGTCGAAATAGATTTCACTATTTCGTTGTATTATGTCTTCTGTTTCTTTAGTTCGGTATTAATATTTTCTAATGTCGACAAAGCCTTATATATTAGCTTTGACTTTATTATTATCGGTGAATTCACTCACTCAAATGAAAAACGACTTCGTGCAAAAATTAATGAATTCTTTTGATTGTTACTGCTCTCTACCAGTGGTATAAAATATTACATAATCGAGATTAAATTGATAAACTATTATCATTAAATTCTTTGATAATTGACACCATTATAACATCGATGAAATCAATAAATTCTGGTACAATGAGAAACTTTTCATGGAAATCATCAAAATATTATAAAACTCCGAATAGTTTATCGTAGTCGATTTAGTTGAGCCTTATAATCTTCATTTACTTTTTCTTCTGTAATCTAGCAAGTTTTTTCAGAATTTCTTTTATTCCACAATAGTACTAGTTTCATGAAAGTCTTGCAAATATTCTTGATTCGGTTTACTTCTAATCTTTTCTTTGTTGAATATAATGAACAAAATCTGTTTTATGATTGTAGGTGATCTAAAAAAGGATGATAATGAAAGTATTATTTACCTTATTCTACATAGGATGTTCTATAAGTCATTAGCCAAAGAAAGGTATGAATATCTCTGCCTTATTTTGACCGAATGGGCTGATATTTTTATCCTTGATGAAGAAGTATTCATAGCTCATATTCATAAAAGAAACGTTGTCCAAAAATTATTTTAAAGTATTTACAACTGTCTTTAACAAAGAACTATAAACTTTCGCGAACTATGAAAAAAGCAATAGATTTATTCCCTTAGCTGATAATAAGCGATATATAATTTTTTCGATTAATTCTCCATAATAGTGTCGTTGGATCTCCTATTTATACCACAGATGTATGTCTAGTTTTACTCAGTATATCCTGAAAGTTTCTGTTATAAAAAGCAAGATTTTTATGATGAAACTGCAATATTCATTTTTCATAATCCTGAAAGGTTACACTGCTTTGTTAAAGTTAGTTGTATATAGTTTAAAATACTTTTTTTTGTCAACGTTTCTTTTATGAATATGAGCACATATATCCGTTTACAATTGTAAGGAAGTTTCGGGACAATCTGTATATTTTAATTTCATAGCCTATCAACTCACCCATGGAGAAATTGGTTGAGTTGGGTTGATCCATGGATTGAAAAAAATGGGATTTCCGGCATCTCTGTCATCTTCGTATTCATACAAAATTAAATAAGAAAGTTCAATAAATAGTTGATCGAAATTTTGTTGAAAACTGATCTTTACATCATTCTTACAAGTATTTATTTGAATAATATTTTTCTTCCTATCAGATTCTTTCATCTATTCGGAGTTTTACATTTCCTATATAAGAAATTTTTCATGATTATATCTTATTTTGACAAGAGTACTAGAACTAATTATTCAGCTCATTATTGACATAGCAATGATTTCTTTTCATCTCCTAGGGCGAACAAGCACGATTTTATACAGTGAAATACGGAGTATACACGGTCGTCTACGACTGTCTACGGATTTCGTATACTTCATCATGGACTCTTATGCCATCTAAGAATAATGAAAGTTAAAGTCGACACACTATACAATGTATTAAACTATGCATAGTACATGACTGATTTTACTCATCAGGATGATTCGTTGCTCCTATTCATCTTTAGACAGTAAATCTTCTCTTCTATAGAAGGTATTCATCAATAATGTAGATTATCACTTTTTTGTATCTTTCGTTTGGTTTTTACAATTTTCTCTTTTCTTTTCTTGTTGATATATAACTAATAGATTGTATTGTAGACAAGATAAATGTATTAATGTTCTGAGTATAAAATAAGCGTAAGAAAAAAAAAAGAAATATGTAATATAGATTGGCAATCAAAATAATATTGTATATTATATTAGAGATTCGTACGAATGTAAAATCGTTTATATTATCGTGTATAATAAGAACACAATAGTCTTAATAAGTTTTATCCGAGAAACGTTATTCGAAAGAGATGTGCACAAATTTTAAGAAAACAAAGAAAAATTACATGATTTGAAGAATAAGATTCATCAAAACTATATTATAGAAAATGTTCATAAAGAGAAACAATAATTAAAAGAAAATTGATTTACTTTGCTGAAATAATATCATTTCATAGTTTCAAATAGTGTATCGATTTTTCTACTTTTCTATATACTTTATTCAAAATAAATATAAGATAATTATTTGTTTTTTTCTATCATAGTTAAGGTCTCCCACTTTAAGAAAAGTCAGTTTTCGTTAGAATGGTCAAAATTCAGATAAATACATGGGAAGATAGCCCGCCATTTGCTCTTTCATAAATGATAAAAACTTTTCTTCGATATCTCATTTTTCCCAAAAAAGTTTTCAAAATTTCTGACAACCCCTATTCGAAAAACCAAAAAATCTTTTTCGTTTGTTCTCGCTTCACGATATCTGGAACGTGCAAATCAAATTTCTCTGTCAATAATCATTCAATGTATTTATCTATTTTTTTTGAAAGAGCGCATCAAGACGCAGTGCAATACAGAGCGCTTTTTTTTTTATTAATTAGGCTTTTTTTTATTATACTGTATATACAGATACTTATATAACTCAACATCCATTTTTAAGGGATTTTTGAGTCATTGAACTTTCGTTCCTTTTTTTCCCAAAAAAAGTAAGTATTTAAAAATAAGGACTCTGTACTGCACTGCATTCTGACATGCTCTTTCAAATAAAAAAAATTAAATACATCGCACGAATCTTGACTGAAAAATTTGGTTTGCCAAATAAGCTATTTTTTACCCTTGTTTGGTCAGTATCTCACTCAAACATCATGATACAGGACTGAAAATTTTACTATAGCTTTTCCACAACAACCCCAACATATCCTAAAAATATCATGTCATTTGCACATATCTAGGCTGAGATCGATTTTTGAGGGGAAGGAGGCCTGAAAATTTAGAAAGAATCAATAAATTTGTCTCTTCTCTAGTCAAGTCGATTACATTTTAAAAAAAAGAGAAACAAAAGAAATGAGGAAAAAAAAGGATACTGTACATCATTGACTAACAAATTTAATGCAAGAGAACAGAAAGGAGAGAATTCGCTCTTAGCTATTTATCTGTGCACATCAGACATTTTGTTTTCTTCTATGGGACACGGAATAAGCAAACTGAGAGTAAAGCTCATTGACTTAAATAGTTGGAGGTCACAAAAAGTAATAACGAGAAAACGTATATATGAATATCGATCGTTGGCACTAGTTACTTTCAGCAGAGAAGGGATATAATTTGTACATACACAACACTGCATGAGGATGAGGATACAGTGCCTAACCTAAACTGTAATACCCAATCGTTCAGTTTTTTCTCTCATGTATTCTGTGTTTGTATGATAGAATAACTAATCGATTCTCTTTCTTCGATGATATCTGGGTTTGTTCTCGCTGTCATCGCTATAAATAATAGGCTTATCATATCATAAGTTACCATTCAGTATATATTTTATTCTTCTTCCTTCTATCATTAACGTAGCATTGAACGGTTAGTTTTTTGTGCATAGTCAATTGGCAACACAGCAAAATGATTTCTAAGTACAATATATCGTTGTATCAATCATTCTCATGGCAATATTGTGCTGCTGGGCGACGACAAATGTCGATGAACAATAGATTAATGACAAGAAAAATATTTCAATGATGATACACAATAAAGATAATCATGTTAAGAACTTCAATCAACAGTATATAGAAAGATTTTTAAAAAAATAATATATTTCTTATCTTTTTTACTTTTTATAAATAGAACTGAAAAATACTTTAATTATCTTCGTCTTCCAGATGGTGAATGCCATAATTGTTCAACATATAAATGCACCAATCATAATTCAAATATGGGTGGCTCGGAATGGTGTATCATGTTATTTTCTGATGCTCTTGCTCATTGTGATTCTGATCCGAATTGTGGTGGATATACAATGACAACAGCTGAATGGTTTCACACAAAATATGATAAAAATAGACAAGTAGCCGTTCATTTGGCTAAATCTGGTCAAAAATCTATTGCTTGTCCATTATCCGAATGGAGCAGTTATGAAAAACAAAACACTATTCGTGATGTTCCTGTAATCTATGGAAAATCAACATGTGGAAATGAGTCAGTACACTTAACTACATAGATTCGTAATTGATCTTATGTATATATACATAGTTTTTCTTTATTAATAAAAATCAAAATACATGTGAAAAGTCACAGAATTTTAACTATGTATTTGTTAGCAATTCAAATGCGGTCGAAAGTATTTTACCATATTTGTGCTACAATCATCCAAATCGACTTGACAATAAGAATCTCAAGTGCATTCTACCACTTGCCGATGGTGTGACACTTTGCAATTCAGATAGTCAATGTGAAGGATTTATGATCAATACAGATGACTATTGGCAAAAGAAGTTTTTCAATAATGGAATGCAAGTAGTACAATTGTTTGGAAAAGGTGTTACATATACGCCAAGTGAAACATGGCGTAGTTTCAAAAAACAATATTAATCATTTTGCATTAGTTGTTTTTTTTTATTTGTTTTTCTATTTAGATACTTTTTGACACTTTCTTATTTAATACAACGTGTATAGGCAAGCATGAATGTTATTTTCTCAATGATATTATCTCAGATAGTATTAACGACTGGTTTGACTTGCATATGCATAATATCAGCCATTTATCGGTTATTTCTTTCTGTTAATTACCATTATCAACGGAAAAATTATTCCTATAAATTTTTAGGAAGAAAAAAAAAACAAAATAGCTAAAGAGAAAGAAAAATATGAAGTGTATGCTATATATGGTTTTAGAAGGGAATAAAGCCGATCGTCTAATGCATAACAATCAGTATTGACCTATTGTCATACAGCTTAAGAGATACATTATTCTTGGTGAATTGTTTTTTTCAACTCAATTCAAAGTCATATCGAATAATAAATACATGATTTCTTAAATTGTGTAAGTGTTATTGCATGAATCGATTGCAATATTGAGATAAATTTGTTTTTCATTTTTTGTCTAGAAAATGTTCATTTTGAAACAAAAAAAAAATTTGAAAAGAATATCAATTCTAATATTATTCTACTCATAATTCTAAGTCAACTGCGAGAATCAAAAAAGAATATATCTGAATAAACAAATCAAAAATGAGTTTATTACAGATGATTTGTTTTTTATCAACTAAACTTATATTGAAAAAGTTCACAAGTAGATATTATATTTTAAGGTTTTATATGAACATGCTCTTGAAATATGATTAACAACAAATCTTCAATAATTAATATCAGTAGAATAAATTGAAATAAATATTGGAAATTGAACAATAATGATATTTATATTCAATATGAAAACCTGGTATATTTTTCGACGTTTCAATATATATTCCTCTTAAACGAAAAAATAGTTCATATCTAAATAAACTCATAATCAATTTATTGTTTTTTTTTATATGAAAATTAGTAGTATTATGGCAAAATTTAAAATAATATATTGATGATAATCATTGAAAATATTGTTATTGGTCATGTTTAATCATAACAATCAAATATATTATCAAAATGTTATATTTATTTGGAAATTTTCAATAAATATTCCTTTGTTATGATAAAACAATTGATTCTTTTAAACAAATTTTCATTCTATTTACTTATTTAGATTTTCATCGAATAATTAATTATTGAAATTGACGAGCATTTTTCTGATATTTAGGATATCGATCGATAAAAAGAGTTCAAATACGACATTAATCAATGATCGATTTCTTATGAGATTAAACTAATAACAACGGAAGGTTTTTTTATTTATGACAAGGAAAAGTAAAGTGATTTCTTGATTTCTTTGATTTTTCTGATTTTTTTTGGATATCTATCACTGTGAATCAATTTTAATCTATTCATTGTCAATCAATAGAAATCAAGTATCTACTCTTTGTTTTATCACTGGGGATTTGCTATGATTTCTAATGGTTTCCGGTGGTTTCAAATAATTTTTAACTACTTCTAGTCATTATTCATCTCCTTAAGTCGTTAAAGTGATTTTTCGTGATTTCTAATAATTCCTACAATAGAAATCAATTAGAGTTACCCTTAATTTATGATTTAAACTTTTGACTGATCAAGTCAAATTCAATAGTAACAGACGAAAAATCGAGGTGAATATAAATAGCATAGGGTTTAGTTGTGAATGCCTACTCCCATGAATGAACATCCATACCCACTAATCATCCAGATTTAGCATCTTTATTCTCTGATTTGTCAATGACTTATCATGAAATCAAACATTATGAAGCAGCAATCGTAGTTCTTAACAACGAACAAGAATCTTTACTGCATGATGATCCACATATTCTAATGGCATATGAAAATCTTGCAATCAATTATGATAAAATAGCTAAAGGTTACTATTCGAATGAAAATTATCAACAAGCAATAAATACATTAGAAAAAAGCCTACAAATTCAGTTACAACGCATATCCAATGATGATGAGTTAATATTATTAATAAACAATAATATTGAAGGAATGGAAGCAGAAGTCGAAGAAGACAAAACTAAGCACAGGACGGAATGGTTCTGTTGTCCTGTCCTGGTGCTCGCCAAGATGGACTTCAGGCAGTAAGACAACACAGAATACGACAGAAAAAGTTCTTCTATGTACATCTCTGAAAGAAGAAACGGAATTAGTTCAATCGTAACTTATACAAAAACGTAACTCATCTCTTTTATATTGACGACAGAAAACACACTGTATACAAAAAAAAGTCAAAAAGATTGTCTATTTTTTCTTTCTCTTCGTATGAAAAGAACGAGGATAGAATTTCAACTAATTAATAATAATCAGCGAAAAGATATATTTATTCTTGATAATATTTACAGGATCGAAGAAGTTTTCCGTAATTCATTATAGAAGTTAAAAAGATATTGATGTTTTAAGATAGGAGAGCTGTGAGCTCACATTTTTAAACAATTAAAATTTTCATTATATTCATGTACTTTATATTTAATATTATACCGATTAATTAATAGCAGCTGTAAAACCACAAAAGTTTCTAATTTCATGATTAAAGTTTATTAGCATTCGATATATTCAAATATACATAATGAAAAACAGATCGATATGTAGTTCTACGATACAATTCAATTTGTTAGTCAGAAATTTGTCTTTTTAGCAATCGATTTCGAGGTTGTGAATCTGAACAAAAGCTACCACAACACATTTCAATCTTACTGTTAACAATGGAAGTTGAGTTGCCCATCATGATATTTAATTGTATATGTATTAGTTTTTTGATTTGCTTATCGATAAACTAATAATATAGGTATGATTGAAGAGACACTCCACAATCACACAGTTATATCCATACCAAGCTTACCAGATAAAAAAAGTTAAAAATCGGATAAAAGTCGGAAATTTCTTTTTGTGCACATATGCTTCGTTTGGTTTTCTATCACCACAATATTCTTTATTTTGTTTCAGTTCATTAATAATCTCTGTATCGGATGGCTTCGCACAACGTAAAAATTTCATAATACTTTCCTAAGGAAAAATGCTTCTGCAACTCGAAAGTGTGTTTTCAAATCTGCATGAAGCAATCTGTTCGAATCTTACTTCAGATATTGTTTAGTATTTCTGGTTTGATAACAATGGACTTGTTTTTTAGATGGCATTGAGAAATGCATTTTTGTAAGAAAAATAAACAATTTTTAGAGTGTAACGTTTAATTACGATGAATTCAAGATAAAATAAGATGTGAATGTATGTATGCTTATTCTTATCTCTCACAGCGATATCAGTACCCACTCATACCTTACACCCACATGTTAACATTTGATCAATATAGCATTGGAGTACTCGAAAAAATATTTAATTATTCTTAATAAACACAATAATTTAATTTTCTTTTTTGTTCACTAATTAATTATAAAAGAATGAGAAGCAAAAATATTTTCTTCTTCATATATGAAAACATGAATAAGAACAATTATATAAACAAAAACAGATTAATATGTTCATATTTAATTGATTTGAGAATTGAATATATATTCGTATTATTATTGTGTCATGTTTTATGTCCAATGAACTTATTTTATTGTTCAATACCATTTAATCTATTAGACATTCGTATTTTGAAGTTTTTTCTTTGATGATCCAGAGTGATTTGTTTGATAATTCGATTTTCCAGACTTCTTCACATTAGCAATACGAAAACTTTCTAGAATATTAAAAAAGAAAAAACTCAAATATATTATGCTCAAAATATAAAATCAATAGGTTTTTTCAATTTATACTGCAAATATGATACTATATATTTTTTCAAACCACACAAAACAAAATAAAGATTTTCTTTTTTTTGCATTAACCAATTACAGAGTGTACATGGGCCACTTCAGGCATAACAAAACATATGCAGCTTTTATGTGAATTCGGTTCGTTAATAGGATAATTTTTGTGAATAAGTTCTTTTACCTAACTGTTAATTAAAATTAGTTAATTAATCATATAAATAATTAGTAACTAATTGTACGACTTAAACAGTTGTTTTCGTTTGTAAATTCGTACTTCGTCATGTCACGAACGAAAAATAAATGGGTTTTTCTTAAAAAATCTAGGAATACTCAGAAAAAAAAACTTTGAATTAAGATTTTGTAGCTTCAGAAGCTATCTACAGAATGTAAAATGTAGTGTCTAAAAATACAACCTCAATTGGGAGGCTTTTTGAACTAAAATGTTTGATGTGAACGTCGATATCTTTATCTTGTCACTTTACTAACATAAGGTTTTTCACTGATAACTTCTTTGAACATCGATCTTTAATATATGAAGGTTTTTATATATCTTACGTAAACGATTATAGATGAATATCGTATTGTTATCTTACCAAAAAATTCATTTATATCAATTCTTCCATTTTTATCTAAATCCATAGCAGAACTGAGCTCGTCAATATATGCTTCATTTATATCACCTGTATCATTTTCATCATAAAGTAAAACTTTGAGTATATCAGAAAATTCATTACGACTTATAAAACCTATGATAT